CAGTCAAATATCTTCTTTTATGTTACACAGAAAACAGTTTTGGAATGACATGAAGGTGAATAAGTGAGTAATCAGTAAGTGATGACAGGATTTAAATTTTTGTGAACTATCCCTTTAATCGTCTCCATAAAACACTGATAAAATTGCTGTCTGTGTATTAGAGATGCGCGGATCAGCTCAAACGTCACCCGAATCCACTGCTACAAATAAATTATCCACATGCCACCTACCCGCACCTGTATTTTTCTCTGATTTAGATATCTGTCCCAACCCGCACCCGATCGTCACATTACAAAGATTCTAATTCTTAGATCTGCATGATATGATGAATGGGTGGTTCATTGTTAACAGCAGATTCAGTAACGTTAGAACTTCTCGAACAGAAAACAGACACACACAAATGAAATTTGTGTCTGTCTGCCTGCCTGATGAATAAATGCATTTAAAACATGTTAAAAATTTTTTGTTAAGTTTAACAAAGTTTTAAGTTTTAAAATTCAGAATGTATTTTTTTATTACCCGACCCACGGATTATTGATATAACTCCGCGCATCACTACTGTGTATTCATGACAATGTTATGTTGTTTGAAGCGTGCCTCCAACATATTTTTTCATGGGTCCCCTGAGCTCTGACTGCATAGCTCAAGTTGTTTCTGCCCTAAATATAGAGTTGGCTTTTCCCCACAATGTCAAATGTAACTTGATTCCATAAGTTAAGTCACAGCACGTCAGTTGCTGGCTGACCGGCTGAGTTCCTCTCACTCTGTGCCACACTGCCTGATGGAGTCTGTGGGAGAACTGTGCAGTCCCACTGGGGCCAGCTCCAACAAACTGAGCTTGCCGGGATCCTGCCCCTGGGATGAGGACGAGGAGTCACTGGATCTGGAAGGAATCAAGCCCAAATCTTCACCCATACCAAGACGACGGAGTTCAGCGTCCTCCGATGACTCCTTGCTTCCCCCTTCTAGCAGCAGAAGAGTGTCCTTTGCTGATGCCTTCGGTCTGAGTCTCGTCTCAGTGAAACAGTTTGATACTTGGGGAGTAACTGACCCATCAGGCTCTCTGGAGAGTGACTTAAATGAAGATAAGGAGTATTACATGGTTCCTCTCTTCACTCTTCCACAGACCGCTGAGGAGTTTGCCTTGCAGGTTCACAAGCAGAAGATAGAACTAGAGAGTTTGGAGTTGCTTTCTGGGACCACAACTCTAAGAGGAATCATTCGCGTACTGAATATTTGTTTTGATAAGATGGTCTATGTACGTACCTCTTTAGATTCATGGAAAAGTCATTTTGATCTGTTGGCAGAGTACGTACCTGGGTCAAACAATGGTGGGGCAGACTGTTTCTCCTTCAAACTCACACTAGTACCCCCATTTGGAGAAGAGGGCACTAGGGTCGACTTCTGTTTGCGATATGAAACATCTTTAGGCACTTTTTGGGCAAATAACAATGAAAATAACTACTCTCTGTTTTGTTGTGAAAAATTAAAGGAGAAATCCCAAAATGAAAGTGAAAACAGAAGAAAAAGCTGTCTGAAAACAACCAGGTGAGAGGTCACCAAAATATCTGTTGCATAGACAATAATGAATGTCAAATGAAATATTTCTAAAATATTCATATAATTGTACTTTTACAGAAATTATCCATAATGCATACTACAAAAACTTGATAATTGATACAGTTTTTAAATTGAAGTAAGTGACATGCCAGAGATAATATATGCATAAAACTACTAGTGGAACTCAATGAATTAAGGAACAATATACATACTGCCCTTTCCCCAATTCTTAAGCACAAATAATTTTTGTAAAAATAATTTTACAGCCCAGATGTCGCTGCTTTGACTGTTGCAGCAACAAATAATGAAGAATTTCCTGGTAATTTACCTTCTGAAAATTACTTGCAGCTAGATTTGGAAATACTATAAAATTCTGATAAAAACATATGTTTTGTTTCCTCAGTTATAAATCTAAATTCTGGATCTCTAAATGAAAACTCTAAGAAACTTGAAAAGGAAAGCAAGGAATTAGTGGTGAGTTCTACATTTTTATATTTTACAAAAGATTGATCCACAGTCAATTAATTGTGTGTTTTAATGAAACAATGCATTTTAGTATAAAATTATATAGTGAAAACATTTATTTTAAACATGCCGTGACACCGGCTGCTCTTTCTGAATGTCATGCGGTTACTGATGTTAGGCTTTGACAAGTGTTAGCATAACATTACAGTATGTACTGTCCCAAACAAGACACTTGATAGGTCATGCTGTTCAGGGTCACTCTGAGATCATCAAGTCACGTTGTTAAAAGTAAACCCAAGTCAATGTCTTCAGTCAATCTACATTTTATTTATTGAAGATGGTGTTTCATTCAGTATTTTTCACATCTATCTCTTTGTAAACAGGAGGAAATAAGCAGAAACCGCAGCCGAAGAAGCAGAAGAAAGGCTGCACGATTAGCAAAGGTTAAGGAGCACTTTGCTAAGAGGGAAGAAGAAAATAAACAAGGGACCAAGACCAAAGAGAGTGAAGTTACGGCAGAGACCAGCATGCAGGAACATGCATCATTGCTGGAAAAGACACCATGCAGTCCCCTATCACAACATACTGCTCGACCACCAACATGTAACCAAATATCACCCTCACCAGCTAAATCCCTGAAATCTGGAGATTTAGATTTTCAGTCTAGTGGAGATTCCATTGACATCTTAAGCCAAGCTTTAACACAAGACGAAGAAGACAACATAATCCACTCCAAGACTAATTTATCCACAGAAAACACAAATTTATCCCTGGAAGACTCCATTTGTGATGAATCAATTACATGCTCAGCTTCTGAGGTCCTGGAAGGCATCCAACATACCGAGTGCATTACTGACCAAACAGTTTCAATCAATCAGGCTGTTCCTGTAAGCCAAAATCCCGACTTGTCTATTTGCAAATATGTTGAAAAAGCATGGAAGGACTTTGAGAAGGATGCTAAGCAAAGAATTAAAAGTTTTGCACTAAGCTCTAAGATGCACGAGGGCACGAATATTAGCGATGGCAAGCCAAAAGAGAATGTGAGTTTAAAAACTAATTCAGAGCCTCAGCTGTGCTCCCATGGCTTCACATTTGGGACCATTGTAGCCCCACTTTATCATCAGGTTTTTAAAAACATGGAAACAGAGAGACAAGACTTCTTTCCAAAACCATTGGATAGGTCATTTAGGGAACTGGAGGATGAGAGTCAAAGAGCGGTCAAAGCCCATGAGACCCCAGACATTTGGCCAGAGTCTTGCATATCTACAAAACAGACAGTACATGATATTAGTGTTGGCATCTGCAATGAATCAGCAGAACAGAACCCACAACATACAGTAAACCCAACCAAAACTCTTTCTGAGCCAAATCAGTGTAAACATGTTGAGAAGGCAGAAGCTTCTTACAATCAAAACTATTATACCGGTGGTATCCGAGAGTACCCAAGAGACATCAAATTTACTGAAACAAACCTTCCAAAAGTTACATCCAGGCAGCCAGATCCTCCACTTGGAGAAGTTTCAACAGTGTGCACACAAGTTTTCACTGAATGCTCGTTCCAGGATGATTCTTGCCAAAGTCTATGTTTATTTCCCTTACAAGGACCAGAACTTTTAGCCACTACAAATGAAACAATAGAGTCAGGTATTGACAGCCTACCTGAACAGATCCATCCTTCATCACCCATAGAGGTTTTCAAAACTTCATGTTTGGATAATCAGAGGTCCTTTATAAAAACTGAAAAGTCACAAAACCAGGAAGACCCTACAAATATCTACACCAAAGAGGAAAATATATCAGTGCAAACAGAATATTCAATCAGCACCTCTTGCATTCTTGCCCAATCTCCAGATGACCCCACAAGGATCAGCTTGGGTTCCTCTCATGATAAATTAGAGTCTGACTGCTGTGAGATGAGATCGAGCATTGAAAAACTTTCTCATTTAGCAATAGCAACAACTATGCCAATAGAACCATATACAGAATTGGAGAACACACAGATAAATATGAGCAATACTTTGGAGAGCTGCCAAATGAATGAAAAGAAGGAACAAATGCTCATGGGTTTTTCTACACAGACTTCAGAGATGGAGAGCTCCAGTATTATTAATTTTGATGGAGAATGTAACACATCAGTGATTAAAGAGATAGAAGAAATTCACAAAAGCCTGGAAGAGCAAGAAAAGGGAAATGAAAATCAAATTAAGCAGATGGAGAAGCAGAAACAAGACAAAGAGGAGAAAGAACAAGAACCAGAAGAACAAGAAGGTGCAGAAGGAAAACATGAAGTTAAAGGAGGAATAAATGGCATTGAAGATGAGTTGAAATACATAGACGATGAAGAGGACCTGGATGCAATGGAAACTGAGAGAGAAAAGAAACAACAAGAAGATGCACATGATCTGCTTTCTCAAGATGCAGAGGAGCAGAAGCAGATCATTAGTACCGACACTGTTAAATCATTACCACAACATCATATTGACTTAAATGAAATAGAAAGTCTAGGTGAGTACTCAGAAAAAGAGGACATGCACATCAACCATGGATTAGAGATCTGTGAGGAAACTGCTACATCTTGGCAAGAATCATCTCAAAAGACTGATATTGAACTCAGTGGAAGTATGCAAGCTATGGAGAATGATTGGAACCTCATTGACTTTATTGATAAAGAAGAGAATGTGTGCTGTGAAAGTGTGAAAAGTGAATGGGAAACTACTGATGATGTAAACAGTATGCTGGAAAACATGGAATGCCTGGCAAAAGACTCAGTGAACAGAGATCTTGAAAACGTTGAAGACAATACCTCAACAGAATCGCAGATAGATGATGAGATGGAGCTGTACCTGAACAGTCTGAGGAATTCACAACAGTCAGTATTCAGAGAAGGCACAATGAGTGGAAGCTACGGCAAAAGACCCTCCTTGAGCAGAGGAAGGCCATTAGCTATGCCTTCAATCTCTGAGTCTATGGACGAGGACCAGCCGAGTAGTTCCCTAGAGGATTTAACAAATATTGAGTACAACATGAAGCTGGAGAGAGCTACACTGCCCCTAGTTGATGGGAATGAACGTGTCATTGGACGTAATGTCTTGTGGTGGAAAGAGTTTCTGTCCTATGACAATATGTCAAGGATGACTAGATACACATTTTTGTTGATAGTGTTTTTGGTCATAGCATATTATTATGACTTCATTGCATGCTTTGCCCTATATATTCTTACAGTGTATTGGCTGTTTTATCAAGCGGAGGAAGTGCCACTGAAAAGCTCTCAGAAAGGTGAAAGAGGACTGCAGTAAATATGATTTACTCGTCAACATTTGTTGGAGAACTTAGAAATGTGAATCTAAATGTTTTGTACACATACAATTGTTGTACAACATTGGATTATGTGGGGCTATTTATCTCACAAAATTTCATAATGGCAAAGACATGTTTATAAGAAGACTTTTACATTAATTTGCCATTACATAAGTCAATAGGTATATTGCCTTGCTCTACAGACAACATAAAGTTTGCATACAATATCAAAATGCTCTTTACAAAGAGCTGAATATATAGCAAGAGATTATATGGGGTCTACAGTATATATGTAGAAATTTTTGGGTTCTGTGTTAATGGTGCCTGGTACAGTGATGATACACTGGGTGAGTAAAAAGTTTGACAGATTATAGAGGATAAGTCTTTAAAAAAGGAGTATAGCGCGATTTAATTGACATACTTTTATGCATAGCTTTAATTTCATGCGAAGTACCTGATTGGATTATGGTTTATATACAATGCATATACAAAATACATAACCTGTTAACTATAACTATAACCTCTTTTTTTTTAATAATCATGTTGATTTTTATGTCTAATATATCTTGGCAATAAGATGAATGTTCATGTAACATCTGAAGTGATGAAAAAAAAATGAAATGCATTTTTCTGTTGCAATTATTTAACAAACGTTTTTCCATACATGGTCGTTCAAGTTTATTAGAGTTAATTTTTTTTCTTTACATATCATCTAGTCTGTTTACAGTAAAACAGTTTGAGACATCAAGGATCAATATCCTCCTTTGTTTCAATATACCAAACATTATGTTCTTAACATCTCCAAACTCACCAGCTTTTGTTAATAAGGACAGATGTGTCAGAAGTGTCATATGACACAGTCTAAACACAATGTATAAGCCGTGTAAAATAAATCATAACTTCCATCGTTGTACTCTCAAAATAGATAAGATTTGTGGATTTTTTTTTTTTTTGTGGTGTCTGTAAATTTGCTTGTCCAATCAACAGAGTATTTTATTGTAATTCAATATTGTGCAGCTGTTATTATTTCAAGTTGTCTTTATCTTGTCCATTTATTGTTAGACACATTCACGGAAATCATATCCAGGTTATTAGATTATGCAGTTCACAGAAATAAATCTGACCACATATCTCCCCAGATAGACTCCTTTTTTAGCTGTAGATATTTAAGAATGTTTCAATTGCTTCTGGCCACACACTGAAAGTCAATGGAGTCCATAACAAAAGCCAAAAGACTTTAATTGTATGGACAAAAAAAGAAAAAAAAAGTAGCCTAATTAGTTAAAATTATTAAAAAAAAAAAGTCTTTTTTTTATTTTTTATATTGTCTTTTGTGTTCCACAGAAGAAAGAATGCATGCATAAGGGTGAGTAAACGGCATCATTTTCATTTTTGGGTGAACTTTCATGGCTAGATGAGTGACTGCATATTTATAAGATAACAGAATAAGAAACATTTTAGTTCCTTTAGTTTAAAGTTCATGGGGGAGCAGTTTGTACAGTTGGGCAGGGTGACTATTATGGGATTATCACTCCCTCTAAATGGGATTGAACTACCGGTACATGATGACATTTTCAAACCCAAGGGGACACAAAAGCACTGTTGCTCCAGGTTTGCTAACTTGTGGTTGATACACTGACAAGGATAATATGCATAGGCCTACATATACGGTTAATTAATTTTTGGACATTTTTCTCAGTCATCTCAATGGCAAAAAGTGGGGGGTTGGGGGGTCTGGAGCCTGCCCCTTTAATCGCCGACGCTAAAGTGCACTTTCGGTCCGATTAATCGAGAAGAATTGTGCCCTCATTGTGCCCTCGTAACGCCACACTCCCCTGCACGTCCGGAGGACTGTGCACGCCACTGCCTAGTTTTGACATGATTCTTCATATTTCGAAAAAATACTGCAAAGTAACTTACTGGGTCCGACTAGTTCTGGTGTTCAGTGAGTTTAGTGAGGTTTATAATATTCACAGTAAGCCATAATAACTCTGTGGGGTGAAACATGACAAAACTCACGTTCTCTCCACGCCACACAGAATTCCGTGTCAGAGCGCGCGGGAATGTGAGCCTCCTGATGTGATTCTAACGACCAAACGCTAGAAAGACCGACCTTTCGTGTATTGTTTTTTAGCGGCTTTGACTAATTAGTAATCCATTGTAAATGTAA